GAACGTCTATTACTACGTTGAAATTGCATTAATATCTGTCAAAATGACTGACCCGGATTTCGGAGTTTACCCTAGTCTAGGGTCAGCCAAGCTAAAGTGCAGAAAGATGATGTCCTATGGCTTAGTGTCACTATCACGAAATGTTCACCACACATATTTAACGGTAAATACCCAAGATTCCATTCAATTATTTCATATTCCCCCCTGCAGAGCCATATCCTAGCCTCAATTTCGATATTTTAGGAATATCATATTTAATACACTGTCTGAAGACTCCAAATATTGGCACGATATGGTGTACCAATATGTACCAACGCATTGCAACGGAGATATTGTCTGTAGCTGTCCTGGTTCCATTGATATAGCCTTAGGAGTCTGGGTGGAATAGCCCCTATTCTGCCTTGATCCGCCTCAAATCATTCAGTAGACTCGAAATAAATGTTCGCATTCTGTACTAAACCATTCTATACGATATATAGATGATTCAGAAATTTTCGTACCCTTTTAAACCGGGGTATTTCCCAAATACCTCGAATTTACTTCCTATTTACCCTGAAATATACCTAAGAATGATGTATTACTGCACCTGTGACAAAGTACATACCCCATGCCTGTCATTAGAATGCTCTATTGACCTTCTATAGTGATTAACTGATGTTTTGATAACAGTCTGAGGATGTATCAGAACACATCCAACTGAATACACTGCAGTGCACACCTGCTGATACCTTACCATCTCATTGTCAGGTAATTTCGATGTATGTAACCCAATACACCTGGGATTGTTATGAAACTTGGGATTAACACTTTCCTACTCATTAGAATACTGCTTAAGACGTTATATATCCTATTATTCTGCATAGGACTTCATAATGAATATTTTAGAGCGAAGAAATCGCGAAATCACCACGGATTTGCTGCATAGTGCCGTGAAGAACTGGACTAGCACCCGTGGATTACCTGGAATATTTGGAGGGGTACTAATCAAACATTTCAACTCACTGAGGCGAAACCATACATGTGTAATCCAGCCCAGTATACCGCATTTTCCTTATGATAGGGGCTAGTGATGAATGACTAAATCGCTTATATCTGCGGCCACAACGGTTGGATTTGCATAGGACTTAGTACGAAATGTTTGGAAATACCTGTGAAACATTTCGTTCCACTGTAACGAGTGAGGAGGATCGTGTAATACATAGTTTGACTACAAACATCGACAATACACCATTTCCGCTGTGGCGCTACACAAACAACAGTTTTGTAATCGCATATTCCGGATTCCGAAGTCAACCATATGATCCCTACAACATCCATTAAGCGACCTAAGCATTTGAACGAAAATTTAAAATCAGATTTTCGTCTGAAGGACAAGGGGTGTCTGGTTCACCTATATCCATTCACATTTTGTAATGGGTCTCTGCAGATCTTGAAGTGAATCTAATCCAACTAACAAGTTTTGTTATTGGACCTAAGCTGTAGGATCAGTATTCACCATTACAAGCTACATTTTCGAAGTTGACCCTAGATTAGGGTTACATCGCAAAATTGTAATGGCTCTGGAACCCCAGCCAGAGCGAATTTCTAATTGGATCTTTTGGATCTTGTAGTCAACCATATACCAGCTACAACTTTCATTAGTAAGCCCTAGGAATTTGAGCAAATTTTCGAGCCAGAGTTTTGCTGAACCATGAAGGTATTCAATACAGCCATATCTAGAGGCATTGACAACGAGGTCTCTTCAGATTTACTAATCAATCTAATCCAACTAACAACTTTTGTTATGGGACCCAAGGCTGAAAACCAATTTTCGAAATTTCATTACAAAAGTGCATTACAAACTGATCTAATGAACCATTTCTAATGAAAAAGCGCCCTAGAAAGCATTATAATAGCATATTGTAATGGAAAAAGCGGACTACAAAGCATTATAATAGCATATTGTAATGGAAAAAGCGGACTACAAACCACTACAGTAGTAGAATCTAATGAAAAAAGCGAAAAAAATACCATTTATTGCCATTTTTGGCGATTATTTACAGATATCCAGGCCATAGCAGGCCTAGCAAAGCAATTCTAGCAATTAAATGGCCGGCACGGAATGTGCCGAAACATAATGTATTGTGTTTTAGGCTATGGCCACAATATAATGTATTATTAGTACGTCTATGGGTGGCATTTGCCGATTCACCTGCCATTCGTTCGGCACTTGTCCGGCTGATCTTTCTTCGGTTACCGTTGTCCTTTCAGCGATTATACCGTATCCCGTGGCGTTCCCACTGCGTTTCATTGCGTTCCACCGAGTTCACTGCGTTTTCACTGTGTTTTACTGCGTTTCACTGCGTTCTCCTGCGTTATACTGCGTTCTACTGCGTTTCACCGAGTTCATTGCGTTCCCCTTTGTTCCCCTGCGTTTCTCTGCGTTTCATCGGCTCTTCTACCGGCGGCTCTACGTGCCGATCCTTGCATTTCCATATTCCGTGCATCCGGCACTTCGCCGCTTGACCGGTTCTTCTTCCAAACAGTCCTTTCATTCATCGTCCTCAGAGTTTTCCGCATTCTTTCACCGGATCTTCCTATCCGGCACTTCCGCATTGTGTTTCCGGCACTTCTACGTTATGTTTCCGATTCTCCCGCACTTGTGACTAGTCCGGCACTTTAGCCTTGATCTCAGTCCTTTCGTCCTATCCGAGTCTCGTACTCAATATTTCTATTGGACAACTTTCCTAGCCGATATTACGGGATATTCTCTGGTTGTGTCTTACGGGTCTATTATACCGTACCACAGCTATCCCAGGCTACGACTCATCAGCGTCGAATCAATCCAGCGTTGAGGGTTAGACACGAGCTTGATAGGCTTCGGACAAGGGTGACCGAACGATACCCCGATTATGCTGGAAATTTTGACGTCTAGGCAGGCAGGTCACGGAAGACAATGGTACCGATTATTGTTTTTGCTGATGCTATGCTTGGCCAAACTAAGGTACACGTGGAACGCCTCGCTGTGCCTTCGTGCGGTCGGCTTATTGGAAACTCATTCATTAATCGTTGGGACCGCCATGATGAACCGCCATGAGACGCCTAGAGCAGCACTTTCGCAAAATGCGAAGCTGTAGCGCGAGTTGAGTCGACCGAGGAGAACATGGAATGTCGCCGATTGCTGGAATACGTGAAGCTGGGCAGGGACTAAGTAGGTGCCAAATAAGCAGAGAATGAGAAATGAAAACAAATTCTCTCACCAACTTGATAGGAGGACGCTTTAATGAGACACATCGCTTGTGCAGTCTTGGCCAGAGGTAGCGAACGTCTTCCTGAAGGAGAGCGCTATGTTCGATGTGACAGGATCTAATGTAAGCGGGTGGCCAAGCTACCAAAACGCGTGCATTGAGGATATCTAGTGACCAAACTTGATCAGTATGGAAGGCGGGTCAATGGTTTCAAGCATAAATGCACAGAGAAGCCTGTGTTAAGCCGTGCTTGTGGATTGAGTCCCAGGGTAGAGTTGGTCCTCGATGCACTGAGAGTGTAGTAACGAGATATAGTAAGATGCGCGTTGAGCCATTGCTCATATGCGTAGCAAGGCCCGATCTTGATCGATATTGAGCCCAAGAGCGCGCCAGCTTATACCGAAGTCCAGAGGCAAATTATGAGTAACACTGGCAATTACTGCTGGCGTTCGGCAGAATCAGAGAACTGCTGCGATTATGACCAACACGTACCGAGGGCGCTGGTACACGACAATCGACTGAAATAAAAGTGGGGGGCTTAGTGGAACGCGATTGAGATTCGATATTCGGTCTAAAGAGAGAATATGTGCGTACCGACAAATCAGTAGTCGTAGATCTTCTGTACCTTCTTCGTAGTGTACCGGATCGACAAAGCGCTTGAAGCGGGATTGATGCCTGAAAATCACGACGATGACGAATGAAGGTCGAAATGGGTATGAGCATGCTCATGTTCATGCGATTTCCAAATTCTGAAAACAGAACGAAAGTGAGAATGAGGGACGGAACAGTGGGAAACATCGCATATGAACTCACATACTCGTGGAAGCGATCGCGAATGGACGGGATTTGTGAGACGCTAGGGTTAGGCTATAGCGTGGTGTATGTGGACAGAACTTTGCGTGGTTGTAGCACTCGTGAAGTGTCGTGAACGAATGTGTATATAAAAATATGGTAGTCTCAGTTCAAAGGCGGTGAACCAAAGAACAAAAAAAGAGGGCGCACCAATATTTCCTCCGCTGTGGAAGATGGTGCGTGATAGAGCTGACGAAGTGAGATGGTAAGAGCGGGGAGGGTCTTGAGCATGAGAACAAGATGCGGGGGATCGCATGACGAGATAACCGATGCAGCGAGCACCACACATCAGACCTGTCGCCAAGGTTCATGTCCTGCAGACTGCGCAAGAACACCGTCAAGACCGCACACATCCGCGGAGTGTCCCAACAGCACTCGATACATATTTATGCGCAGCAACTCCAGGTGTCCCATCTGCGCCACGTTGAAGACCTGGGCTTGACAGCCGCGGGATATTCTGTGAGTTGCGCACATATGATGTGGACTTGCATTATGCCACATGACAAAGTCCACTCGCGCGACGGCAAATGCATGATCAGTGACGGAATGATGGATGAGGCTATCCAATTGCTGTGGATGGCAATGAAAATGCGAACCGTTAAGTAGCAGCTAGATCACCCAAGAATTTGTAAATCGCAAGTATGCAGATAAGGGAATAGAACAGTGACGCCGCGGGGGTCTTCATACAACACGAGCAAACAGGATCCCTTGAGAGCTGCGCGCTGATTAGTTTTGAACATACATAAATTCAAAAATCGGTTAAAAACGGTGATAAATCATACTTGAACATGCTCTGCTTGATGATTTTGCTTAGTGCGCCATCCGAACAGTGGATTCAGCGAATCTCAGAACGTGCTCATTTGAGCCTGACCGGAATGTGACTCACCATGAGTATGACCTGGATTTTGAGCATACATCGCGTTAAAAACCGCTAAAAAACCAAATTAAACAACCTGCTTTGTAATATTTGGTGACGTATTTGTCGTACGTAGTCCGAAGGAGGTCCTTGGCGTCGTTGATCCACCTTCTCTTCCATTGCTTGACCTCGAAGTAGTCAAACTCCAGTCCGGGGTGGAGAGCTACAAGGGAACAACCTTCAGTAGGGAAGCATAATTATACCGGTATATGACTCACCAATCGCGATGCGATAGACAGATGAGAGGTCCGTCTTTGAGTAGTACTTATTCATGGTGCGGCGTGCAAAGGCCATCCCAACTTTCACAGCAGGGTGAAGGGATTCATCAGGTTCCGATAACATTTCGTCAAAGCGATCCATTTACAGAACAACCGTCGCGATTGTGCACACATTGTCTTTGGAGAACCATACCGTCGATGATTTGAACATCTAAAGTGAATGGTGCGAGTCCGAGCATTGCAGAGAAACGCTGCGTTATCCGGAAGTGCGTTGGAGGTCCAAGGAGGAGGAGGAGAAGGAGTGGGTCAATGAATGACTTTAATGAAAGATGAAAAGGCGAACACTTACCCAAAGAACTCGGTGCAAGTCCTTGAGATAGGAAGCTCTAGGCTTGGTCGTCCGGTGCGCATCAACGTCCTGAAGCCGCGGTCTTCTACAATCCGTATTGGTCGATTGGCCTCAGTAATCCACTTCACCAAGTGGGCACTAGTCGAGTAATTAGATTATAAATCATAAGAATAATGAACATCGAACTGGCTCACCGTGTTTCAGAGGACGTATGCTGCCGATAGGACGCGACAACAGGCTCCTGCCCAGGCCGGTCCCATGCTGCAAATATGCTGCCGTCGCGGTCGGTATCCGGCTTGGTTCCTGCATCAACGGCCTTGTCGCCAAAGCACTGGCGAGCGTGCGAGAAGAGATTAGTGGTGCTTGCCCGGTCGCCAGTATGAAGGTAGCGTTTAACCCCGCCGCTTTGTTTGCAAACGGAGGCCGAGCACTTGAACCACTGGTAACCGTGTCCTTTGTCGTCGTACTTGATCGTGACGTTCTCGGTGTTGAAGAAGTTGTAAGCGGGGGAGCGTCAGCTTTTGCGAGCACGGTCTATGAGATATAAGCATGAGTTCAGACACATGAGGAGGGAGTAATTGAAAAACGAACCAAGCTGAGCCTGATCCTTCTGCTTCTGCTCTTGTGATACCTGAACTTTTGTTTGTTTCTTTGACTTTGGTTGATTGCTGTCGTCGTCGTCACTGGGTATCTCGATGGGCTGGGACGGCGCCGCGGAAGATCGAGTATGGACGGAGGCTAAAGGAAAGCTTCAGTTAGGACAACACAAAATTAAAATAAGAGATATGCAGCGTTGTCATCATCGCTAATGCGACGAGACTTCTTCTTGAGAGGCCGAGTAAGGGCCTTAGTGACTTTCTTGACTTTGTTGAACCCGCTCGAAACCTTCTGCTTGATCTGGTCGGAAAGCGAAGATTTATTCGACGAATGAGAAGGGGCAGGTGACGTCGCCCTGGAGGAGGGCTGAGAAGCGCGAGAGGACGCAGGCATTGCGCTCGCTGCTGGAAAGTACAACGGAAGCCTGCTTAAAACTGTGATGCAGACACTAAAATGATTAGTGAGCGGCCATAGACTGAAGGATGAAACATACGTAATGAAAAAAAAAACATGCTGCTGTGTGACAGTGTTAAGAGCCACACTCGCAGGGGGGGGGCTCGGGATACGCGGACCCGCGGGTGCGCGGTTCCACGTAGACGCGTGGGGGAACGGGGGAAACGAGGACGTACGGGCTTGGCTTCAGCTACTGGCTGCGCCTCCCACACTCTTGCGTGCCCTGTATTTCCGGGGGGGGAGTCCTACGCGGGTACCGAGGGTACGGGCGGAGGCGAAGGGGTGCGACGGGGGGAGAACCCACTAGAGGAGTGAGATGCGAGTGCGGAGAAAGAACTAATATTCGAACTAAGGTAGCTGTATGTACGATACAGGACTATATACTAAGGAACACGCGGCGTCCGCGCGTTCACGAAACAGTAATGAGTTCGGTCGTAGTAACTACAATGTGCTCGAGTATGTACTTAGTCCGTAATCCGGGAAGTCCGCGTGGCCGCGTATAAGCGCGGCCCGAGCCCATAGTCGGGAAACGCACGTGGGCGCGCCCCCTGGTAGCCCCTGAGGGGTTCCTTGGACGCGCCTATAACAGTACCTCCCCTTTAAGGCCGAGACCCATAGAGGCCTAGACACTCATGACGCGCGGTGGTATGGTGATGATGCGGTGTGGGCGTCATGAGGGTCCGTGGTGAGTCAGCCTCTGCGTGCACGTGAGCGAAAGAAGCGCGGAGGCGAGATGTGTCAGCAGTATAAAAGGCGGAAGCGCGGAGCAGCGAGGCCATAATGGCGCCCACTCAGAAAAGGCCGAATGACCACCACAATCCAACGCCACACGATCCTGACGATGAACGGCGGCGACGGGAGGAGAAGCGGCGGCGCGAGGACGACGACATCGCCGAGGCGGACGCCCGTCTCGAGAAGGATGAACGAAGGCGTCGTCGGGAGAAGCTGAGGGCGCGGAGGGCTGCGGAAGACGCGCGCGTGCGGGCGGCGGTAGCGGAGTACGTCGCGGCACGGGCCCGCCATGACGATAGTCGGGGCCTGGAGGCGACGGGGAACGCCGTCGCAGGTAGTAGCACAGGGCCGGGGACGAGGGAGCGGGCGGCGGGGAGAGGAGAAACGGCGAGGGAGGTGGAGCCCAAAGGGCCGGCACGGGAGGTGGCATGCCTCGGGTGCGTACAGCGCAACCTCGAGTGCCACCAGCGGCTGTAAGTCCGCCTCCTTTTTTTCTATACGCTTACTGATGCGTCTCACAGGGTTAAGAACGCCCGCACTTGCTGGGAATGCAAGCAGCGGCATGTGCGCTGCGGGAACGGCGCAGGTGGGGCTCGAGGTAGCGTGCAAGCAGCGCCGCCCGCAGCGAGCGCGGAACCCACCGTGGCGGAGTCGCTGGGGGAGCTTGCCGCGCAGGTCTTCGACCTGTCGGTTCATGTACTCGCCCGGTCGGAGGCGCTGTTGCGCCTAGAGCAGAAGATTGACGCGGTGGCGGACGCCGTGGCCCGTATTGCTGGCGTTGTTGGGCTGCCCGCGGACGTCGTCGCTCGGGAACGCATGCCGCAAATGGCATGGGCCGCAGCATTGCCGCCAGTACCCTCGACGAGTGGGGACGACGCGGATGCCACGGGGGACGAGATGGAGGTCGATGGGGCCAAGGCTCCGTCGACGAGCGACAGCGACGGCGCGCAGGACGCAGGGCCCGCGGATGCGACGGACGAGGAGGACGCGGAGGACACGGACGAGGGGATGGTTTGGGCAGGGACAGGGAGGGCGGTGGAGAGCAGCGGCGAGGAGGGAAGTGAGGAGGATAGCGGGTAGGGTGAGCGCGGGGCCCTTGTCGGCGCGCGAGGAAAAAAAAGGAAAATGTATCTACCTATCTACATTGCATATTTTTTGTGTTTTGTGTCTGTCTCTTTTCTTTTTTTTTTTGTAATTTATAACTAGCAGACCACGGTGTGATCGTAAGTAAGAAGAACCTAGCACAAGAAAGAAAAGAAAAGAGAGGGAACTTAAGAATTTAGGAGAGTGTAGTATATGTAAGGTAGTGGGCGCGGGTGCGCGCGGAGCGAGCAGGAAATAAGGGAAAAGTATTGAGGCGCGGATGCGCGGTGAGGTTGGTGTTCTGATAGAGGGCGCGGGTGCGCGTGGGCTTGTCGCGAGTGTAGATGGAGAATGCACGGGAGCGCGGGGAAAATAAGAGAAAGGAGGGTAAATGCGCTGGTGCGCGACGGAGCAATCTACAGGTGATACAAGCGCGGTGCGCACGGGGAGAGAAAAAAGATGTTGAGTGGGGTGCGCGGTAACGCGGAAAGAAATAGAGAAAATGAGATGAAGGAACATTACGCGGGTCCGGGCTTGTCAGGATAGCGCAGGTGGAATTCTGCGACGAGTTCCTGCGCGTGCCCGAGCTCGTCCGCGGAGAGCCACGAGAATTCTTCATCAGTGTGTTCGTAGCCGAGCCATCGAACGTAGTATTGAAGTTTTACTTTCCGTCGACGGTCGATTTTGGAGTCTACAATTTCAGCTATTTCAAATTCGTCGTTACCATCGACTTCAATGGGTGGGGGAGGGGATTGTACGCGATTTGGAATCGCGTTGGGTGTCTCGGGTTCGAGCATAGAGACGTGGAAGACGGGGTGGACCCCGCGGAGATTTTCCGGGAGACGGATAGTGAACGAAGAGGGTCCTGCTTGGTGAATGATTTCGAACGGACCGAGGAATTTCTCCGCGAGTTTGTGCGAGGGGCGCGTGGTACGGAAGAATTTGGCCTTCACAAAAACCTTTTCGCCAACCTTGAAATCCGGCGCGGGTGCGCGGCGACGATCGGCTGGTCCTTGATAACGGGCTTGCGCCTCAGTCATCGCGGTACGTAGCTCTTGATGGAGCTCGTCGAGGTCGGTTACGAAGGTTCTTGCGCGGGCCGAGGCGAGGTCGAGGTCGGGATTAAGGGAGAGATTGGGGTGATAACCTTTGTTCGCAAAGAACGGAGATACTCCAGTGGTAACACTAGGAGCGTTGTTGAATGCGAACTCGGCGAGGGGCAAGAGGTCAGCCCAGTTATCCTGTTGATAATTACAATAAACACGTAAGTATTGCTCAAGGGTTTGGTTAGTACGCTCCGTTTGGCCATCACCTTCAGGATGATATCCTGAAGTGAAGTGGAGCTTCATGTCCAACCCTTTTCCTAAGGACCGGAAGAAGCGAGAAACGAACTCGGAGCCGCGGTCAGACGTGACGTGCGCGGGGACTCCGTGTTTAGAGAAAACATGAATAACGAATAACTTAGCTAGCCCTTCCGAAGTGATGGTGTCGTGGCACGGAATGAAGATTCCCTGCTTGGAGAGTCGGTCCATCACGACGAGGATGGAGTCGTACCCGAGGGACAGGGGAAGTTTCTCGATAAAATCCATAGAGATCGAGTCCCAAGGTCGAACGGGAACCGGAAGTTGTCGTAGCATGCCGTAGGGCTTGTGACGCTGGGGCTTGCTACGCATACAGGTGGTACAAGACTTGCAGTAATGTTGAACGAATTCTCGAAGTTTCGGCCACGTATATTCGCGGCGCACAAGTTCAATGGTCTTGTTCTGCCCGTAATGTCCAGCGAGGATATGATCATGTTTGAAACGGAGTACGCGGAGGCGAAGATCTCCGTGGTCGGGGACGTAGACGCGGCCGTCGAGGCGAAGTAGATTATCTTCGGAGCGCGACCACCGTGGTTCAAGATTTTCGAGTCGGGCCTTGGTAACTGGGTCTAGCAGATAAGCGTTAATAATATCTTCGTGCAACTTCTCTGTGTCCATAATAATGGAACCGCGGAGCGCGGGTTCCCAGAGGTAAGTCGCGCGGATAGACGCGGTCAGCTGTTCGTTCGAGAATATAGGCTTCAAATTTTGAGGGTTGACCGTAGCATAGCCGTCGCCTCCCTCCCTAAGGTAGACATCCCAACGTCTTGTGAGGGCGTCGGGTTTGGAGCCGAGCCTTCCGGGACGGAAGCGGATGAGGAGGTTAAATTGTGAGAGGTACTCGGACCACCGCGCTTGGCGGCGGGTCAGAATCTTGGTGGTCGAGAAGTATTCTAGGTTCTTATGATCAGTAACCACGTCGATTGGCTTACCAGACCCTTCCAGGTAATGGCGCCAGACGCGGAATGCTTCGAAAATGGCCAGGAGTTCCTTGTCGTGAACGTCGTAGTTCAGTTCTATAGAGCTGAAGGTGCGTGAGTGAAACGCGACTGGGTGGATTTCGCCGTCTGACGTGTAGATGGACAGAATCGCGCCTAGCGCGTAGTCCGAGGCGTCCGTCTCCACGACAAGTGGCGCGTCCGGTACCCAATGCGTAAGCACGGGGGCCGAGGTGAACGCTCGTTTGAGCGCGTTGAAGGAGTCGCGTGCTGCCTGATCCCAATTCCAGGGCAGTCCTTTGCGCGTGCGACGGGTCAAGGGGACCACAATATCCGAGTAGTTCCGGATGAAGCGGCGGTAGAAATTGGCAAAGCCGAGGAAGGATTGTATGTCGCGAATCTTCCGCGGTTCCGGCCAGTCTTGGATCGTCTTGACTTTCGAATTATCCATGGTAAGACCTTGCGGGGAGAGAATGTAGCCGAGATATTCCACAGTGTCCGCGTGGAATTCGCATTTGTCGGCGCGCGCGTAGAGTTTGTGTTGGCGGAGCCGACGGAGAACCTCCTTGACGTGTTTCTTGTGATCTGCCATGTTATCAGAGTAGATTAGTATATCATCCAGGTAAATGATAACATAGACGTCGAGGAGATCTGCAAAAATGTCGTTCATGAATCGCTGGAACGCGGAGGGAGCGTTAGTCAACCCGAAGGGTACAACCAACCACTCGAAGGAGCCGTAGCGGGTCCGGAACGTGGTTTTCCATTCGTCTCCCTCAGCGATGCGTACCAGATGGTATGCGTGCCGAAGGTCGATCTTTGTATATAC